AGCATCTTCGTGGCCTCCTCCGGACCCGCTCAGGCAGGTCCGTGTCCACCTTGTGCAGGGGCCCCAGAGCTGAGCACGATACGTGGGGCCTCGTGAGAGCAGAGGGGGACAATCACCTCCCTGTTTCCATAAACCGTTCCCATTTTAGTCCTTCTCCTATCTCCAAGGTCTGGCCTGGACTTTTCAATGTCCTCTCATAAACTTCTACATACACCACCCGAAAACGCTGGTGAGGGGAAGGGGAAGCTGGAGCTATTGGCCTTGGGGCAGGACACTGCTCAGCAGGGCGCACCAGCCCCACACACGCCTGCGTGGAGTGTACTGCCAGAGGTGTTCTGCTCTGGGTTCCCTTGCCTTGAATATTTGAACATTGTGAGCTAATGGTAACAGAAAACAAAAGCCTACTGCTGCTAATTTTCTTTCCTCTCTCCTCAAAACTGGTCATTCATCAGAAGGGATGTGTGGCTGACCCTAGCAGACATACCTTGTCATCAAGCTAGTCTGTACTGGCTGCGTAGACACTGTAGGAGGATTTGGATACCTAGAAAGGCAGCAGCTGCACAGAAAAATTTAAGTATGGTTTCAACCATTCTCAGGAATACAGGAAGCAACTGGAGGCTGTAGGAGGTCTGCAGTGTGTAGCTGATGCATTCCAGGTGTCTGTACGGCAGTATGTTGACAGGCAGGTGGTCAACAGCACACACTGACGAACAATGCTGGTGCTGAGAAGCAAACGGAGCAGACTGGAACCAACTCTGAACCCTTGTTCGGAGGAATTTGATGACAAAACCCAGTTGGGAGAACTGCAGAGATCAAACAGTGACAGGGAAGAAAAGGAAGCAACGGGCAACTGCCATAACAATACTGTCTTCGCCTGTAAGCCAAGTATTTCATGCTTCCATAGGAACTGACATTTCCTTCATTATCCCACTTTACTCTCCTTTTGTTTGTGTTTAGCCAGATTTCTGAAACAGACACAAAATTAATTTTTGAGTATAAGTTTTACCTAATGGGTGAGACAAACTGTTTTCTCAGAGCACATTTAACATATTTTCCATAGGCCTCCACCAACCAACACCTCAAATTCAAAACTTGACACATTTATTTACTCTTCTGAATTGCCAAATACAAGTTAATCCTTGTATTTTTAAGGGCCATTTATTAAATGCAGTTAACATGACAAACATAAGCTCTCCATATTTGTAAAACTGTCTCCTAAGTCCATATCTATAGTTTGGTTTCATATTTGCTAGGGTATAAACGTGATTAGAATAAGGCATACAAAGGGCTTCCAGCAACTGTTGTACCCGAGACGTCATCATGCCCATCATCTTACAAGGCATTTTTCCCTATGACACTCTGACATCTGAAACAATGAGAATTCGCTTCAATTACTTCTCTCTTTATATAGAGCTGAGCAGAACTTTTGATTTTACACAGATAGAAAATCTGAATTTATATGAAGTATGCGTATTCAGTCTGGTCCAAAACATTTGTGTGGCACATACAAACTTACATTTAACTCTTATCTTTATTTCAAAGTGAATTTAATTCCACCTTTCATCAGAAAAATCTGAGATAATAAACACAGAAGCCATTTCCACAACTGTTCACTTTGTCCTTCACTAACCTATAGCAACAAACTGTGTCTTGGGCTATTTCTATCAGAACAACAAGGAGGAATATTTTCAAAGTATTCCAGCACTGCTATTTCAGCTGGATTCATGTTAATGGAGTGCAGGACAAAGCCTCTCAGAATGGAAGTTCGGCTCTGATACACTGTCTGAGCAACTGGAGACTTCCATATACACAAAAAATTTAGGCAAAGGACAACAGAAATGGAGGATCTGAGGTGTGGGAAAGCTGTTTACCATTCTGCTCACAGGCAAAAGGGAGAACAGAGAATTAGCAACTTTCTCTTAAATGTGGGTCCTGTTCCAATTCTCCGTAACATCCTTCCACACCCTCAGCAGCAGAGTGGAGAAGAGGAGGAGCCTAATGCCACTAGAATGCTACTAAATACCCGCTAGCGCTCATTTTCAAGGAAGCCATGATACACTTCCTCAGCTGTAATTCATCCTTCTTCCTACACTTCAGAGAAAGGTGGCTTTATTAAGTAGCATTTTCAGTTACGACAGACGTGAATCCAGGAGAAAGGCCTGTACTTGCATTCAGCTTTTTAAAACACAAAAAACAGTGACTGGCGAGTACAAGTATTATTACAGAAAAAATCAAGTCACTCAAGCCCTCATTGTTGTGAAGAGGGTTGAGACTGGGAAGGTTCACAGAATGCTAAGAGTGGGAAAAGGATCAAAAGCAATGTTCAAGGCATACACAAACTGAAGAAAGAGGTGCTTTGAAGTCTATACTATGATATGGAGATAAAAGCAAGTGTATGCGGGGGGAAGGTCTTCACCCAATATTTTTTTTGTAAATTAAGTTACACAGTTTTGGTTTTGTTAAAAAAAGTCATTTATAATTTAATTCCTGTTTCAGGATTCTCAGATCTGTGGTGCTGTTAACATTGCACTTAATTGGCATTACCCATTTTTAAAAAGAAATTAAAAAGCAGCTCTGAACTTTGCTTCTGAGATGGAAGCACTCACTGTCTCTGAACCAACAACGATTCACTCTTGCTTTGCATCTTTCAAGGCCTGAAGTCTTTCTAAAAGGGGCGGATGGGAGTAATGCCACATTGAAAAGATCCAGTCAGAAACAGGGAATCCTAAATTATCTTTGTTTAGCTTGATCAAAGCCGAATATAGGTCTTTAGCCTTCCCAAGCTCCTTTGCAAATGCATCTGCTTGAAACTCGAATCTTCGGCTTAATACAGTCAAACAAAATGAGAGAACCTGTGGAGAGAAATATATTTTAAATTATTTTAAAACTTCAGCTATATGCAAGTTCCGTACAGTATCAGTAAATACCTTCTATAAATATCTACCTTCCCACATGCCACACATCACTGTGGCTGTAAGGTTTACGCAGGCCACACCTGAAACTCAGAGTCTTACCCAACACTGAGCACTAAGCCTACTTACTAAAACAAGATACCAGATAGAGCCCCTGGAAACTTCAAACTTTCCCCCCAGGCAAAATAAAATCATTATTTAAATGGGATGATACTTCAGCACCTATTCATCATGTCTTGAAAACAATTTACCTCATTGTAAGGTGAAAAAATGAACTGGAAAATAATCATCAAGCCTATCAGGGTAGGCTGGGTGTCGTAGAAACCAAATGCAGCAAAGAGTTCTTTTCGACCAATTAACACAGCAAACAAGAAGAAGCAGAGGAAGGAATTCATCTAGAGAAAGGAAACAACATTCTTGATTAATATGAGTTGTTCATCTAAGTCTAAAACATGGCCTATTCATGTTATAGATTCGCATAGAAATGCCACCGAAAAAGCCCAAATAGATTTTAGAACTAATGTACAAAGAGGAACAAACAGCTGGCCTTTACATGCTTTCTGTAAATGCACACAATAAAGAAACACTTTGTATTTTCTGTCAGTGAGCTAAAAAAAAAAAAAAAAAAGGGTCTAAGCAGTGAAGGAAGATGAAAAGCCAAGAAGACAGGAGAAGTGAGGAGGGAGTAGAAGGTAGAATCCATCTCCTTGGAATTAGGCACAGATTCAAAAAACTTTAAAACTGAACAAAATGTGTCTGTGCCATGTCATACTTCTATTCCTGGAACCGATCTATGCTTCCATCTAAGCCACGCATCACTGTGTACAAGCACTGTGCTTGCCTGGCTTTTCAGAGGCAAGAGGCAGGACCATGCCTTACAGTTTTTTTTAGAGAAGGTGATTAGTACCCTTTCAATCCATGCAAGTGTCTGTTTCGTCTTTTTAGAGTAACGTGGAAGGTGCCAGAATATTGTTTGTCATTGAAACACAAGGGACAGCAAAAAGAGGGATGGCTGTGACAGCAAACAATCAACAGAAAAAGTAGAAGACATTGCAGAAGAATTTGTGAGAACTTCTTGAAGTGAAGATAAAATCTACCTATTACAGCAAAATAATACTATCTGGAAAGTGGATCCAAAGACAAAAGTTATGTGAGTTAGCAGAGTGGCAAAAGCACCATAATAGTTGTTAGCTGATAGGGATCAACACTGACGTTGGAAGTTGGAAGGTAATTGCCTTAAAGCAGGAAGTGAGAAGGACCTCACTGAAGCGTTGCAAGGATAAGGAAAAGGCCACGTGGAAATGGAACGATAGGGATTTTCTTAAACAGAAGCTTGACAGTGGTGTTCACAGGCTGAAAAGCTTGTGAATAGCCTTAGAAAAAGAACGGAACAGCATTCCTGGAATGGTGCATCCATCCCAAGAATGACATGACGGAGTTACAGCTGGTGCATTGGAGGGCAGCTAAGAGAAACAAACAAAAAACCCAAAAGGCTGAGAACTTGGAGAAAAGAAGGGTGACTGATAGGAGGAACAAGATAGATCTACACCAAAGCATACAGTAGGCTGCTGATAGTAATTTAATAGAAGGCACATAGCTGTGCCTTGCAAATAAAAGAATTTGAATTAGGAGGTTTCGGGGAGGATTTCCCTTGCATTGTGTGATGTCCAGAGGCATACGCGTGAGTAAACAGACCACCAGGCTCCTTTTCTTCAAAGACCAGGTTGGGCAATCTCTAGAGATTGCTTCAATGTTCACCCCCATTTGGGCATGCATCAAGAATGGCACGAGAAAGTTATGTACCCATAATCAATGCACATGGTATGATAACACAATACAAAGAAGTAAGAATGTCCTCCTGTGTCAGATTTCATAATCCTCAATCGCATTCCTTCTCAGCTGGCCAAGCAATGCAACTGATGGAAACTCTCAGGCACGTAGCTTTCTCAGAGATAATGACAAACACCTAAAAAATGCAGGCTGAGAGACAGGATACATCCAGTCCTACTCCTACCACAGGGATAGAAACAGACCTTCAGAGAAGGCCCTGAGATTCAAAAAGACAAGGCAGAAGTATCACAGAGCAAGAAAAATGTGTCCCAACTGCAGAGGCTGCTGAGATTAATTAAAATGGCAGCAGACATGCTTTGTACCAATCAGATGCAGCAAGAAGGGATAGAAAGGCTAGTGCGTGTTCACTGTAGATACCGTGAAGAAAAAAAAAAAACAAAACAAAACCAACAAACCAACCAACTTTCTGTCACAAAGTGTAAGTATATTGTGCTAATGTACACTTACAAATCTGGAAGCAGGCATCTGGAAACAGCAATAACTACAAAATACTCTAGGAAAACCACCAGTTTATCGTAACTTACCTGGCTGATGATAATGTTTTTTACAGTGTGACCTAGTTTCCAGTGACCCAATTCATGACCAAGTACAGCCAGAACTTCTTCATTTTTACATCCTTGTTTCTTATTCTGAGGGAATAACAAAACAGAAGTAGTATCAGGTATGACTGAACACAACTGAATAAAGTTCTTACTTACTAGTTTGGTTTTTTCCTAGGTCACTTAAGTGTCCCTAGATCTGGCCGTTCCCTTCTACCAGCAGATACACACGTAGAATTTCTTATTGAGCCTTTTTCAAGAAGACACAAAAAAATAAACTTTCAAGTTCAACAAGATTTTTACCACCAAGTGGTGTTCTCTTATTTCTATGTATGCAGACACGCCTATGCAAACCTGGAAGAACGCTAGCAGATTTGCCTTCCAAACACTTTCCTACCATCCCTTGATCTCACCCTATTTCTTCACTCAAGAAAAGGAAGCATTCAGAGCCACCGACTTTCAACAGAGAATTGAGAGCAAAGTCCTCTCCCTACCTCCTTCAACATGCAACATGTAACCTCTCTCCCAAGGCACTACTGTTCCTTTAAAAACAAATTACAACATCCCTGTCCACTGCAACAAGCGCTATGATATGCCTTAAAGCTCTCATTAGGAAAGATGGACATCTGTACCTTCAAAGGTACATCAGCAAGTCAGAAGCAAGCCCGTGGGCTCGTGTACTGAGAACAAGTACTACACAAGTACTGAGAACATAGCTGAACAACCTGTGAAAATGGAACAAATGATTCTCATTAGGACTAGAGCATGTGAGCTCAAAACCCCTTCCTCTCATCACCCACTTCTGCAGTATGCCATACCAAACCGTGCATGAAGAGAATTCCACCACCAGCACGGTTACAAGAAACAGAAGCTGGACTGAACAACAATCTATACATTGGCCTAACCCTAGGCTGCAGGAGGCAATTCTTTCTTCTCAGAATTACTTCTTGAAACCTTCAGAAAGTATTCCATCAGTTTTAACCATCCCTACGCTATCCTGAAGCCACAAAGGCTGACTCTTGATCTGCAGGTGCACATCAATGGAAAGGACAAGGCAATGCCATCATCCCATTCTTGACCAGGGCAGGGGAGGATGCATATGTGTAATCTGTACGTGTGTGCGTGCACATGTGTACCTCTTGCACCAAAATTCTTGGATGTAGTAAAAGGCACACAAATGACACACTGATAAAAGCATTTCCTTCAAAGGGAAGCTTTGGTGTGTGTTGTGGTGTGAGCCCCCCAGCCGGCAGCAAAGCCCCCCGTAGCCGCTCTTGTTCACCCCCACCCTGTCCCCTGAGGGATGGGGAGGAGAAAATACAACCCAAAGGCCTGAGGGTCGAGACCCAGCACAAGGAGGGCTCACTCACCAGCTGTGGGCACGGACCAGAGACCGACTCAACTTGGGGATAACAACAGCAATTTAACACAGAACAACCACCACCATCAAGGATAATGAGAGATACAACCGGACCTTAAAAACAACCCACCTCCCCCCACCCCTCGGTCTTCCCGCGCTCAGCTCTGCTCCCTCT